AGCGCTTAACACGATGGAATCATTCAGGATTCGAATCATTTTACTACTTGGAGATGATAACGAATGTATCACATTATATTAAAGTTAACTGAATGACCCAATTATTACTCCTTATTACCGAGTAACATTTTTAGTATTTTCCTGTTTACCACAAATTCTTAACTTTTCAAAATTCAAATTTTTTTCGTTCCGATTTTAACATACTTATGTACTTRATTGAAAACCAATAAAAATAATCAATTTACTTCTGCTATTTGTATAGAACAATAAATATATTTTATATCAAATTAATATTTACATATCGTTGACCTGTTATTGTTCTTTTCACAGTTTAATAGTATTCAGCGCAGTATATTGAGTTTTGCTTAGTGGCTAAAAAAATAAATCATGTTATCATAAAATGTATCAATCTACTAATATTATAATGAGGCGAGTGAGCTTTCTTGATATCCTCAAAACGAAAGCATAAGCAATTAACTACAACATCCACAGATAGTTTTACTCTGTACCTATTACCTATAATACCTCCACATGTTTTTACGAAATCCAATTTAAATAATATAYATCGTAATTTTAATTTTTTAATGACATTTATTCTCACCTTGCACGTTATTAACTCATTACTGTGATTTAGAGCGGTGTAATCAGTGATGTTACTAGTCGTTTGAAAATTGTTATTCTCGTTTAAAACTGTCACRATGGTTGTTTCTGCATCGCATTTTAATTCGGTTGTGGCCCTGTCTAAAGGTGCTTTCGGTACGAACAAGAACAATGCCGAAACCACTCCCAGGCCAAGTATGGCCACTAAAAATAACGGTTTTTTTATTCGGAATTTGTCGACAATGATACCGGATATAGGTACAAGTATCGTTGATATCGCCGACATAAACGTCATAGAAGCGCCGAAAGTTGTTATTGAGTATCCCAATTGTTTCGCTATTGTAGGTAAAAACCCAATTATAGGTCCATAACCTATGGAAAAAGAGAAAACGTTTAAGTACACAAATTATTCATTATTAGGCTTAGGGACTTATAGCATTTGCATACTTTGTTTAATTATTGTTAAATATAGCAGAGTKCGAAATAAATTTATTTCTCGGTRCCACGATATCAGATCTAAAATTTGAATGTGCATATTTTTGCATATTTGATCAATTTTGCAGGAAAGTGCTTATTTTAACATTTTTTATGCTTAWTTTGCATATTTTGGCAATTTTTTTAAATTTCAAATTGAAAACTATAGATATTTAACATGTTGACTGCGGCACGAGTTGAAACGGGCGACGACGGGTGCGGCACATTTTTGTATCGCACTGGACCGCGAGTCGGTAACGAAAAGGTTCCTTTAGATTTTAGAACATAATATTATTATTTTATTGGCTAATGTGAAGAAAGTAATCAGTGAGGCTCCACGTGGAGCCGTAATATAATATTATGAATTGGTTATCTTCTTTTATTCCGAAAATCTACCATTCATATCTCGTTATAA